CCCAATAAAAAAATATTGTACAATTTACACAATGGAGTATTTCTCAGCTATAAAGTAGAAGGAAATTGTACCGTTTGCAATGATATGGATGGACCTAGAGAACATTATGTTAAGTGAAATAAGTCAGTCAGAGAAAGACAGATACCATATGATCTCACTTATACGTGGAATCTAAAGAACTGAATAAATGAGTAATGTAAACAGAAATAGTCTCGAAGACACAGAGGAAAAACTGATGGTTGCTGGTTGGAAGGGGGTGGGGATGAAGGAGAAGGGGAAGGGATGAGACAAAACAAATTGGTAACTACAATATGGCGTCAAGGAGAGAAAAGACAGTCTGGGGAATATAATCAATAATGTTGTAAAGATTTTTTAGGGGGCCAGATGGACTCATGTCTTATAAGGGAGACCACTTCATAGACAGTGTAGAGGCCTGACCACAGCACTGTACATCTGAAGCTGCCGTTCAATAATATTATATGTCAACTATAATTTAATACATATATAGTTATGGGATGTGGAGTAGAGTGTGGGAATGGAGTCAATGGAATTGTAATAGATATGTACGATATTGGGGGTGGGGCGGCAGTGGATTGTGGAAAGGGGGTTGTCACTTTGTGAGGGGTGAAAAAGATAACTATTGCATTGTTTTGTACACCTGAAACTAAAAATAATAAAAAAATATATTGTATTGCAGTCCATAGAAAAGAATGAAATTTTACTATTTGTGACAACATGAATGGACCTAAGTATAATGCTAAGTGAATCAAGTCAGAGAAAGACAACTACCATATGATCTCACTTATATATGGAATCTAAACAAAATTAAAAAAAAAAAAAACATCTTGTACAGCAACATTCACAGATGCACTGTTTATAATAGCCAAAAAGTGGAAACAACCCAAATATCCATCAACTGAAGAAAGGAAAACAAAAAACAAAACAAAACAAAACAAAAGGGTATATCTAAACAATGGAATATTATGAAGCCATAAAAAATAATGAAGTCCTGATTCATGCTACCACATGGATAAATGTACCCCTAAAACATTATGCTATGTGAAAGAAGCCAGACACAGAAAGTTATATATGATCCTACTTACGTGCAATGTCCAGAATAAGCAAATCAGCAGAGAAAGAAAGTTGATTAAATGTTGCCAGGGGATGTGGGTAGGAGGGAATTGGTAGTGGCTATTAATAAGTATGGTATTTCTTTTGTGGGATGATGGAAATGTTTTGGAGTTAGATAGTGGTGATGGTTACACAACATTGTGAATATATTAGAAATCACTGTATTGTACAATTTAAAATGGCCATTTTAATGTGAATTTATCTCAATTTTTAAAAAATGCCCTGGGCTGGGGGAGTGGCTCAGTTGGTTAAGAGCTCGCTCCAGAGTTTGAGCTCTGAGCAACAGGGTCCCCAGTTTGATTCACGGCCCGAGCTGAGCTGCCGCTGAGCTGCCAACCGGTGGCATGATGGCTCAGCTAAAAAAAAAATGCCCTAAAAAGGCTATATAGGAGTACATTGTGACTTAATGACAGTCTTAAAAAAAAGGAGGGGGGCGATGGGAATGTGTTGCCAGTTAGTCAAAAGAGCCAAAAAAAAAAGTATGTTTTGGGAAGCTTGGGGAAGAGTTTTAAGGATAAAGTAGTCAAAACCATCCAATGTCCCATTTGTGGATTCCATTCTCACCAGGCATTCTTTTTATTATAATTGGGCTTCTTGAGTACATTTCCTTTAGAAAGAAAATTTGCTGACCAGCGTTTTCTGCTCTTCTTGGCTGTTATATTTTTCATGAAAAAATAATAAATTGGATTGGAATTTTGGTTTGGTTCATAAATGTTTTCTGGTCATCTCACTGAGGCATATCTGACCCTCCCCTTCCTAATTTTAATTCGGATGTGGAGGCTCTTGACACCCTGTACACCTAAAGAATCTGAGATAAATTTTATTACTCAAGGGACTCCTGAGAAAGCAGGGGATTCAAACTGGTCTGGGTTGGCTTTAGAGAGGAAAAGGGAGTGAACTGGGACTTCATAATCTCTAGAGGTTGGGACTAGGGTAGAGCTCCCCATCATGAGCTGTAGATTTGCAAGTTTTAAATTTCCCATTGACAACAAAGGAGAAGGCGCTGGGCTTATCTGCTTGTCCAAAAGGGGCTGGGGGCAATTTATAAATGCTTGAAGATTTTGGAACTTTTAACTTTCCATGTTTGTTATTTTGATCATTCACTGTCTTTTCTTGTAAAGCTTATTTTCAGGGCCAGTGGTAGCAAAGGGAAGTATAGAAGAGAAAGAAGAAACTAGCTCAAACAGAATTGGTAGGATTCAGTGACAGACTGAACTTGCATGTGTGTTAAGCAACTAATGAGACAAGGTTTTAAGTCTGGGTAACTCTTGAGAGAATGACCACTATTGCCACAGAACTTGTGAGAAAAATTGGGACAGGAAACTTTCCTTACCGTTCAGAACACAATATTTAGAAAATGTTTGTGAAAGCAGTATCTTGGCAAATGTTTTTTGTTTGTTTGTTTGTTTTGTTTTGTTTTTGTAACTGTATTTTTCCTTAACATTTTAATAACTATTATAGACATCTATATGACAGAAATAACATGCAAGCAAAACCATATGTTTAAAACAAATTTCGTGCTTTTTTTTCCGGCCCGGTGTACCCTCCGGCTCCGGCGGCCCCTTAGGAGAACGCCAGGGCGAGCGAGAGCGCGGCGCTCCGGGGTCGGCCTGCCCTCCTCCCCTCACCATTGCCTGACCTTCGGCACCTTGCTCGGCTTCCACCTTTTCTCCCCACCCCCCACGTTGAGGCCCCCTCTTGTGGGGGAGGTCTGGAACCGGGAGCGAATTTTGTTACCTCCTTGAACCCCTCCCCCCACCTGGCCCGCGTGTGAGGAGGACCTGGGTCGGCCCACGGGCCGTCTGGGGCCTGGTCCGCCCCACCGGGTGTGTGAAGACGGGGCCCCGGTGCGGCTCGGCCCAAGGGTGAAAGCAGGGGAGGGGCTTGGTCCAGCTCGGCCAGTGCATGAGGACTGGGGACTGGGGCCCCGGCCCGGTGCTGCCGCCACCGCAGCCGCGATGGCCCAGCAGCAGATGACCAGCTCGCAGAAGGCCCTGATGCTGGAGCTGAAATCCCTGCAGGAGGAACCAGTGGAGGGTTTCCGGATCATCCTGGTGGATGAGTCCGACCTCTACAACTGGGAGGTTGCCATCTTCAGACCCCCCCAACACCCTCTACGAAGGCGGCTACTTCAAGGCGCATATTAAGTTTCTTATTGACTACCCAGATTCACCACCTACGTTCAGATTCTTGACCAACATGTGGCACCCCAACATTTATGAGAATGGACATGTATGCATTTCAATTCTTCATCCACCTGTAGATGACCCACAGAGTGGTGACCTGCCCTCCGAGAGGTGGAATCCTACTCAGAATGTCAAGACTATCCTGTTAAGTGTAATCTCATTGCTTAACGAGCCCAACACCTTCTCCCCAGCCAATGTGGATGCTTCAGTTATGTTCAGGAAATGGAGGGACAGTAGAGAAAAAGACAAAGAATATGCTGAAATCATTAGGAAACAAGTTTCAGCCACTAAAGCGGAAGCAGAAAAGGATGGCGTGAAAGTCCCCACGACGCTGGCGGAATACTGCATCAAAACGAAAGTGCCTTCCAATGACAACAGCTCAGGTTTGCTTTATGACGACTTGTACGACGATGACATTGATGATGAAGATGAGGAGAAGAAGATGCCGACTGTTATGATGATGATGATTCTGGGAATGAGGCGTCGCGACGTGCTCCATGGATGCCCCTGTACTGCCCTGCCGTCTCAGGCCAAAGGGAGGGGAGCAAGCGGGGACCTGGCAGTGGCCCCTCAGCAACAACCTATCACGGGGGTAGGGAAACAAGCACAGCTCCTGCTGACTCCCCTATGGATCTCAGTTTGCTCCTTTTTATGGACCTCTTAATGGAGAGAAGGTAATCCTCCACAGTATGTCCGAATTCTTGCATGCTTTACCCTTTCATCACTGTATTGATTTTTTTTTCTTTCGACCCAAACCCCTGCCTCACTTTGTGTCTACAAAGTGTTCACAGCAAAACACGTTTGCTTTGTTTTTAGATTCTTGAAGAATTAGTCTTTCACAAGACGTTTAATGTGTTTAAAGCTGAGAACCCATTGGGAGTTCGTAAGCGCTGTGTATGTTGGGTCGCAAAAGAAAATGGAAAAAAAACCCCCACAAAATCCCACAAAACAAACTTTAAAAAAATATTTTGCCAAGGTTTAGCTGCTCCATTTACATTAGTGTGTGTGCATTTGTTCAGCCCCATGGTGGTAAATTTCGTTTCTTTCCTGTCTTAAGTCTGGGATACAGTGGGCGTCAGGGACTTTGTGGTAAGCCTGATGAAATGTGTTCCTAAGGGCAGAGCCCCTACAGCCTTCAGGAAATCATCCTAACACAGAGGCCTCAGTACTCTGAGGAGAGAAATCATTTTGTTTTTTGAAACCGATTGGGATCTAAAGCCTGAAATAAATATTCATACTTAACATAGAAAAAAAATGCATGAAATTAACCAATCATTTAACTAACCTGACTTTTATTCCTTTTCCTCATCTGGTTTAGGTATTCACTTCTCTGGTATAGTTTTTTTTTTCTTAATTGGTGTCTCTATCCATTTCACACAGGGAGGATTCAGAATTCATGTTTCCATGTGCTCAGATACTGTGCACAGCCCGGATTTTGGAATTACAACCCGGATTGGACAGCAGCCTTGCAGAAGACATCGGCATCAGAGCCGCTGTCCTCGTGTCCAGGGCGAGAATGCCCATGCCTTCGAGAATGGGTAAGGCCGTGCACATGTCCTTACCCGCCCTCCTTAGTCTGTTAGAGAAGAAACCCGGATGTGCGGGGAGGGGGGGAGGGGGAAGAGCTGGGGTCTACCCATGAGGCAGTGCGCGTGATTATAACCGTCGACTGTGGTTCGAAGCGCTCATTCCGCGCTGGGAGTCACTAGAGGCCGCTGCTGTTGCCGTGGCGGCCGTCTGGTGTTTTCGCGCTCCTCCCTTTCCTCCTCTTTCTCCTCCTTAGAGTCCCAGTCTGGCCGATCTGTTCTGCTCACCGTAAGTATCCACCACCCCGCCGGCGCCGCGCGAAAGCGGGCAGAGTTTCTCCTGAGCGGCCGCGGCCGCGGCCGCGGCCGCCTTCTTCTGAGGGAGCTGTGGAGGCCCGGCGGTAAGGAAGGCAGATCGAGGGTCTGGATGCCGTTGTAGGTCGCCGGGATCTCCCGGGGCGCGGGGGAGGGGACGGGCGCGGTGGCGCGATGCCGGGTGGGCCACCATCTTGCGCCAGCCCTGGCGGGGGAGGGAGCTCGGCGGCTTCGTTTGGCGGGCAGCTCAGGCCGTGGCTTCACGGAGCCGCTACCCCTGCCTCCTCATCTCCCGGGGCCTGTGCGTCTGTCTCCTCAGACTGGTTTTGGCTTTTCTTTCTGGAGGCAACGCTCTTGGGTCTTTTGTACGTTCGATACCGATGTTTGGCGAGACCCGCCCACCCCCAAGTCTCTAAAGTCCTAGGAGAAGAGACCAGAGAGGGTTCTGAACTTGCAGGCTTCGGGGACCCGTGGGGCCATCCTTTCTGTCCATGTTCCCCTCACCCAGGGTACTGGTCATGTAGTGCTCACACCCTCGTTCTTGCCAAAGGGACGCTCCTCCGTCATAGAATTTGTGTTCCATTCCGTTATTGTCTAGAGGAGGAGAGCCCTGGGGAGAAACGTAGAGTTAGATACACATTTTTTTTTGAACAGTGAGCTTTGCAGGTTTTATTTAACGGGAAAAAATTATCTCATTCTGAGGTTATAGCCTTCTCTAGACATGAAAGGAGTTCCTTTTAATTCATCTCAAGTTTTAATGCTTTTATTCAGGAGATATCAGAAGGAAATGTCAAGTGTACCAGCTTCTGCAATCACGGGAGATATTCATCCAAAGGATTCTCTTTGTTTGCAAAGAATTTTTAGGTTGTTTGTTTTTTAATATGTGAACTTAAATTTCGCCTTTTTTGTTTTCAGTTTTGGACTGTGAGTTTTAATGTTTTTCAGCACCATTAAACATAAAATTGAACCCAAGATATAGAGTTTTAAACTACAAAAGTCTCAGCATTTGTGAGATGTCCTGCTTTAGGGAGTGAAAACTTGAACTGTCTCCTTAAAGATAAACTTTACCAACCTATGAAGGCACTGGTTTGCTTATAAGATTAAGTTAGGGCTGTATGCCCTTGGTGTTTTAACATCAATATAAATTCTATAATTGCATTTGTATATGTGTATCTTGTGTTTGTATATTCATTGATATCACCCATTTTGAGGTGGGGTATGGGGTGTTGATAGAACTGTTTAGAAGGTAAGGAAACAGCCTCAAGGAAAAAAACTTTACTGAGGTCATAATGGCTAAGAATTGTCAGGACAGGTTCTTAAACCTGAGTCTTCTAACTCTTCACCCAATATACAATCTGCTGTATTGTGCCCCATTTTTTTATGGGAGTGAGGTTGTCAAAAAGAAAAAACAAGGGAAGCTCACCTAAAAAAACGTAAGAAATATTTTTCAATTGCCCTTTTCTTTATATATATTTTTAATTTTTTTAAAAAGATTTTTATTGGGGAATTGGAGGGATGGGAACATCACTGGGGAATTGGGGAAGGGGAACAGACAAGTTGCTGTCATTTTGTTCTTCAGTCTAGATGTTGAGGACGTTGCTTCACTGGCCCAAGTTGGCACCATCATTGCACTCTTCCCCCGCGAGGCACATCAGTCACCAGCTTCTGGACAGCCGCTCACGGCGGCTGCTGGCTACACACGGTAGCTCATGGCAACCCACTGCCACAGGGGCTCCAGCCTACGCCATCGCAGGCGACTCTCAGCAGCCCAGCTCCAGGTTGAGCTGTTGTTCAGCATCTTAGCTGTAGAGGGCAGTGTCACTGGTCCTCATATGTGGGATCCGAACCGGGGCCCTCTGGCATTCCAAGCCAGTTCTTAACCAACGCACCACTCAGCCGGCCCTTTATATTTTTATTTTTAAGGCTTCATGTCTTTTCAACTTTTTAGTATTTAAATAATATTGTTATTATTTCCAAGCATGTTGAAAAGTTGAAGAATAGCCCATTTAAAAAAGTTCTAATGTTGAAGGGCTCCAAATTTCACCTTCCCCTTTTCAACCTATTCAGTTACATTTTCTAGTCCAACCGATTTCTTCAGCCCGGTGTTTTACTACTCAGCATCAGCTTTTTTAGTTGAAGAGGTAAGGGGGAAAAGATATATGATTCTTGCCCTCCTCTTCTCTCCCATTTGTTCTGTTTATTCAGGAGGACGTTTAGAACTACACCAAAATGTTATTTGTTGCTTTTGTTATACTAATTGGACAGGGAAAATACCTGAATGAATAGCAATTTTTGTAAATGGAAAATAATCCATAGTTTTAGTGACAAATAAGATATTGGAAATTTATATTGAAACCATGTTATTTCAGAAGTAACTTTCCAAAGATCAGAAATACTATTTATGATCTATTCACTAATTAAATATATAAGTGATTTTTTTTTTCTGTCTTCCTGCTTCAAGAGCAACTTCAAAATCTTTGGTTTTCAGTCAGGTTGATTTTGTTGTTGTTGTTGTTTTTTTAACATGGTATTATTATTTTTTCAAACATTCAATTTTAAGGAGATTTTTTTTTCATTTTTATTGGGGAATTGGGGGAAGGGGAACAAACAGACAAGTTACTGTCGTTTTGTTCTTCAGTCTAGTTGTGGAGGACGTTGCTTCACTGGCCCAAGTTGGCACCATCATTGCGCTCTTCCCCAGCGAGGCACATCTGTCGCCGGCTTCTGGACGGCCGCTCACGGCGGCTGCTGGCCGCTCACGCTGGCTGCTGGCCACACACGGTAGCCCATGGCAACCCACTGCAAGAGGGGCTGCAGCCCACGCTATCGCCAGTGACTCACGGCAGCCCAGCTCCAGGTCGAACTGTTGTTCAGCATCTTAGCTGTAGAGGGCAGTGTCACTGGCCCTCATATGTGGGATCTGAACCGGGGCTCTCTGGCATCCCAAGCCAGCTCTTAACCAACACGCCACTTGGCCGGCCCCGAGTATTTTTTAATGAATTCATCTATGATGAAATTTATCCAACTAATTTTCTGTTTTTTAGTATTGATAAGAAATAAAAAATCTAAACAAAATTTTTTAACATATTTTCCTATAATAATAATTACATTTATTTCTGATGTTAAAAATAAGAAACAAAGATTAATGTCACTTAGCATTTCAAAATTCAGATGTACTAAAACATAATTTACAGGGTGATTACTCATCTTTACAAAAGAATGCCTTTCAAAGATTATTTGTAATTTAATAATTCATCACATTTCTTCAAGTAACAAATTTTAATGCATTCAGCATTTTATTTACTAAATTTGCGTTCATTCAGAAATGAACCAATTATGGAAAATAGGTAGCATGTATATATCAAGCACATCAAACTCAGATGATAGGCTTTTTGTAGAAGAAAAGGATTAAATGTGTGTACACTTAATTTAACAAATCCACCCTAATAGTAGGTATCTTTATTTTGTAGGGCAGAAAACGAACACCTAACTTGCTACCTTGTCTGGAGTCACATGGTGAGTTTACTGAAGATCGAAATCAGACTTCAAAGACTTATGAATCTTGAGTTTCATCTTCAATATTTGGTGTTAAAGTAACTCATAAAATTGACTGGTGTCATATGTTGGTGCTTAGGTGACTCTACAACTTGATGGACGACAGCAAATCTGATCAACCAAAAAGTAAGTGTTGCTGCTGCAAGTGATAGATAACTAGTATTTGTGGCTGTGTACTTATAACCTTGCTTCATGAGTACAGGTGAGAAAGGTAGAGGTGTGTACATTAAAAAAAATATTTAACCTTTGTTAAAGTAATACATGCTCATAGTAAAAAAGAACAATACACAATAAAAATGTTAGTAAAGTAGAAATGTAGTGTTTCTTCCTCATCTCCAGAGATAATCACTATTATCAGTTTGGTATACATAATCACAAACTTTTATGTATAGACAAAAAAATAAATTATTTCTAAATAAAATCATACTATATATGCTATTATGTGCCTTTCAGTAAGTTTTACTCAGCAGTCTATCTTGAAATATACTGACAGTGGCAGTACCTAGTTAAAAAGAATGACAATATGGTACCAAGACCATGGTATTAACATAGATAGAAATGATTTTCTTTTATTATCAGTATACATGTGTCTCCCTCATTTTTTAAAAGTTGGCATTGCCTGAATTTGCCTAGTTTCTTAGCCCATAGATTATTGTATGTTAAGTACCAACTGCATATCCAGTAGATTACTGTGTGTAGGTGGAAATGCAAAGGAATAAAAAAATAATGTTCTTCACTCTCAAGGAGCTTACTTTAGAGTTAGATGTATGAGTATACAGTTAAAGCACATTAGTAGTGAGCTGTTTGAGGTCATATACAGTAAATCTTGAATTACATGGCATAGACTATCAATACAGTAAGAGGTGGAAGAAAAATGGTCTAATGGTTTATTTAGGAAGTTGCAATTGAACCAAGAGTTGGGAAGAGGCAGAAAATTGACATTTTGTTGAATATCTGCTTGAAGTTAGGTACTTTATATGGCATTTTCCTGAATTTACCTTACCACTTCTATTAGGTAGATATTATACCTATATCAGAAGTGAGGAAACAGATTCAAGTAGTTTCTCCAGAGTCATATGCTTAGAAATGGTGCAGTGGAGATTTGAACTATTCAATTTAATGTCAAGCTCATGCTCTTTCTACTATACTTGAGTAATGTGGAGAGTATAAGGTAAGGAGTAAGGATATTTTAGATGGAAGAAGCAGTACAAATGAGGGCTCCAAGGGACACACCGAGGATCGTTCTTTCAAGACTCAGAATATGCAAATGCTAAACTATGAAGTACTTTTTAATTTTACTTAGCAGTGTGTCTGTGTGTGTGTGTGTGTGTGTGTGTGTGTTTAAGCAGTTTAGAAAAGAAACGGGTCAGTTCATAAAATTGGATATATTTTGGAGAATGGGGAGGTTTTTTGTTTTGTTTTATGGTAGGTAGACTACTAAACATTAACATTATTCTAAGAAATGATTTTGGCCTACCTATATAGAAGGAGAAATTAAATTAAAATTTTCAAAAGAATAGTGCCAATTTGTTAAGGTGTTTATTTTGTATACAATCCCCAAATCATTGTTTTTACATAGTACCTTTTAATTTTGAGTTAAAAGTAGAAATGACATTATTTTAACCTAATAAAATTACCTTTAGAAATTACTGCATTTAAAAGATAAAGATATCATTGTCTTAAAAAATATATCATTGTCTAAACCAGAATGCTAGTTATTATTTTGTTTTATTTTTATTTTTTAGTTCCCCATTCATATCTCATTCCATATATCCAGCACCATTTATACTCATCTCTATTTCTACTGGGGGTGCCAAAAAAATGTATACACATGACTTGATTCATCTTTTGTTATTGGTATATATTGAGTATTGCAGTTTTAATACAGTTTTTTTTCCTTAAAATGTGTATACATTTTTGGCACCCTCTGTATTATTTTAATTTAGGTGCTTCCTCAATACCTTTTTTTTAACCAGAACAATGCATGAGTAGTTTTAAAAAGACAAATAATGTGAAAGGTATAAGTTAAGTTGCATAAGTAGTTTCCTGAAGAGCGAGAGAGAGCGGTCTACACATAGGTGTGCATGTGTTTTGGGCCTATATACTTCGTTTTTTCAAGGTATCCTCTTTCATTGGTGTAGCTGTTTTTCTAATATTTTCATATTTCTAAAATTTGAAAACATACTGCTATCTCTTCAATCATCTGTTTTTGCCATTATCTAATGGTCTTTCTATTAAGCAATATGAAGACTTTAGTTTTCTTACACTTATGCCTCCCTCCAAACATATCCTAATGTAGTTATATCTCAATTTTTGATTAAATCATATTTTATGTCTTTATTATGATGACCATAGTATTGTTTGCTGATGAGCATAATACTGTCGTATTAATATGTTATTGATACATTTACTTTTTCTTTTTTAAATATATCGTTGTTGTTTTTTTTTAATTTGCTAAGTTTTATTAAAAGCTGTAGCAAAGTTATTTCACATCCTTCTGTAGCGTCTCAAGTCGATTTTCTACATAGTGAAACTTGTCAGGTAATCTAACAATTTAGTTTTTAGTGTGTGTGTGTGAGGGGTAGGGATGTCTCCTAGGAGTAATTTTCTCCTGCTCTACTCTGTCTGGTTGGTCTCTAGGTCTATTGAACATTTATTGTCCTGGGACTTTCCTTTGTCTTTGTATTGTGTTAAATGTCATGTTTTCTGCATCCTGTGTCTTCCTCCTTCCTCCTTGTGTCTCATATTTTGGTGGAGTCTTTCTAAGGAAGAAAGGGTGAATGGGATGTAAATTTTGTGTGATGTTGCTGGTCTTTATTCTCATTATTTTTAATTGGGGAATTGTGGGAGGGGAACAGCGCTGGGGAATTGGGGAAGGAGAACAGACAATTTGCTGTCCTTTTGTTCTTCAGTCTAGTTGTGGAGGACATGGCTTCACTAGCCCATGTTGGTATTGTGATCATTGCATTCTTCCCGGCTGAGGCAGGTTGGTTGCCGGCCTCTGGATGGCAGCTTACAACGGCTGCTGGCTACTCATGCTGGCTGCCGGCCACACATGGTAGCTTATGGCAGCCCACTGCAGCAGGAGCTGCAGCCTATGCCATCACCAGCGACTCACGGTAGCCCAGCTCCAGGTCAAGCTGTTGTTCACCATCTTAGCTTTAGAGGGCAGTGTCACTGGCCCTCATGTGGGATCTGAACCAGGGTCCTGCTGCTCAGAGCTGGCGTCCCATGCCAGATCTTAAGCAACGTTCCACTTGGCTGGCCTACTGGTCTTTATTCTTTATGAAAGAATATGTACCTCATGCTTGAGGAAAATCTTGGCTGGGTACAGAATTCTAAACTGAAAATTATTTTTACTAAGCCTTTTGAAAGCAATATTCTAACTTTCTTCTCTCTCTCTCTCTCTGTCTCTCTCTCTCTCTCTCTCTCTCTCTCTCTCTCAGATTTTACAATATTACCTTATCTCGGGCATTCTGAAATTTCACAATATGTCCCTCTACTGTAGATTATTTTCTTAATCATTGTGCTAGGTTCTGGTGAGCCCTTTCAATCTGGAGATTTATGTCCTTTAGAACTGTGAATTTTTCTTGTATTTTTTTCCTTTGATTTTATGCCCTCTCATTTTTCTTTATTCTATTTCAGGAACTTTTATTAAATGTACCTTTGAAATTGATTTTCTAATAATCTTGTCTTCTCTATTTCGTGTACACACACACTTCTAGAAGTCTTTGTTCCATTTATGGGACATTTACTCAACTTTGGCATTTGATTTTGTTTTTTTTACTGAATTTTGGCTATCTTATTTATAATCCTTTTCTGAATGTTACTTTTTGTAGCATTCTTGTTTTATCTCTGTAAAAATGCTAATTATAGTATCTCTAATATTTTCTCCTGCCCTCTATATTATCTCTGTTTTCTTTACATTCCTTTAATCTGTTTTATTGCTTTGGTCTTTCCCATTGGAGGTTTTAGTCATATTTCTGGTGCTAATTAGTTGTCCATCCATATTTAAGAATGAGGCACTAAAATGATTGCTAGGATCTCTGTGTGCTTGGTCAGCACTTGTAGGCTGGTGGTATTCACAGCATGTTCTTTGCTTAGTTTCTTCAGGCGAGAAATGTCTAATCTACTCTGAGATGGAATGCACCTCACTAAATTACCCTGCTTTCATTATAACACTTTATCTCTGCTTTGTGCTGTGCCTGGTTTTCCTCAGTCAGGTTCAGTTTTTCTATTATATTTCCCACCTGTTGCCTCTTATTTTTTTTAAGATTTTATTGGGGAGTTGGGGAAGGGAACATTGTGTTTTTCCAGGACCCATCAGCTCCAAGTCAAGTTGTTGTCCTTTAATCTTAGTTTTGGAGAGCGCAGCTCAGCTCCAAGTCCAGTCACCACTTTCAACCTAGTTGCAGTGGGGCGGGAGTCACAGTCCACCATCCCATACGGGAGTCGAACTGGCAACCTTGTTGTTAAGAGCATGCGCTCTCACCAGCTGAGCCACCTGGCCGCCCATTGGCAGCCCAGCTTGAGCACAGCTCACTAGCCCATGTGGGAATCGAACCGGCGATCCTGTTGTTCAGAGCTCGCACTCTAACCAGCTGAGCCACCTAGCCGGTCCCTCTCACCTGTTGCCTCTTATTCTTAGTTTATCTCCCTTTTGTTAATACAGAATTTTGTGGGATTTTTTTTTCCCAGATAATAGTCAGGTATAATTCTTTTCATAGATATAACCTTATTCTAGTCATAAAACTGAAGCTCAGTTGATTGGATTTGATTGTTCCTAAAATTTATTGGCCACTATAAATAACTATCGTCATCCATTAGCTAGCTAGCTACCTTAATTATACTAGCTTAGATCTTAGAGATTGAGTTTTGAGTTTTTTCATTTTGCTACCATGTACCATCTACAAATATCATTTCAGTAATTACTATTAGGATTATTAAAATGCATGTTAAATATCATACTGTGTATCACAAAATGTATTTGAAAATAAGATTTGCTTTTCTCCTTTTGAAAATTAGATAATTCAAAAATGGCAGAACTCTTCATGGAATGTGAAGAAGAAGAACTGGAACCATGGCAGAAAAAAGTAGAAGAAATTCCGGATGAAGAAGATGATGAGCTGATCTTTGTTAGAGAGATATCAAGTTCAAAACCAGCCATTTCAAGTAAGCATTTGCTTTCAGTGAAGTAAAGTTTTGTAAAATGTCATTTCTAGTGGAAAAATCTGTGGGCTGTCTTATATATCCTTGTTACTCTGTAAGGTGAGAAGGAGCATAGAGATCAGTAAGAATTTCTAAGAATCAGAGGGAGAATGTGGTTGAGGACTTGAGTAAGAAGATGACAGGTTAAAATATGAGAGAAAAGATAAATGTTAACTAAGTTAACTAAAGTTTAAGATTACCTAATAGCACTGTAGGCCTTCTGAGATTGGAAATTATAATTTTTAATGGAACCAAGTAGCCTATTTACCTGTTTATTTGTTAAGTTTTCTTTCTCTTCCTTAAACCCAGATGTACCTAGAAAAGGAAGTGTTTTGAACGCTTTGCTTAAAATATCAGAATATTAAATAAGTTTGTGTTAGCTTCAGAGGGGGTTCTCACATCCAGGCAACTGCTTCATCATAGTGTCATCTTGATTCACGGCTACAAAATGAACAGGCATTGCAAAATTATACAATCTCTGATCTGTGTACCAACATGGGCTGTGGGTCTGGCCACACCCATCTTCCAGCAACTCCCAATTATATTCAGGAAGGAGGAGGGTCTGGTCTTTAGCCATTGTATTTGGATCTCGCAGGCAGTCAGCACGCTTAGTCCTGGTGGCTTTCCAGCAGAACATGACTAGCACCTTTGTGGATTGTTAGATTTTGGTGAGAATAATTAGATTTAACATTGTTACATATTAAAGTGAAGATATTGATGATAATGTTAAAACATCCAATAAAAATGTGTGAAGTGCAGAGGAACAAACAACGTACTGAATTCCAGAGAAAAAGGAAACAGATTCTTTCCTATTATATTCACTTTTTCTTAAGCAAGGAGGATTCACCAAAGAATGTAGCCAGCATACCAGCGTTTTTTTACTTACCGTGGCAGTGCATAATAGTGTGGTTAAGAGACAAGTTTTTAATTTTCTGAAAGCCCAGTTCTTGCTTCTCTTGACTTTCAACTTGGGATAGCACTTTTATTCAGTTTTATAAGAGGCAGTATAGTTTATTTTAAAATCATTTCTTGGGCCAGCCTTGTGGCTCAGTTGGTTAAGAGCTCACTCAAGAGTGTGAGCTCTGAGCAACAGGGTCGCCGGTTTGATTCCCAGCCCGAGCTGAGCTGCCAATAGCTGCCAACAGGTGGCAGGATTTCTCAGCTAAGAAAAAAGGTTAAAATCATTTCTTGGGGCTGCCGGTTAGCTCAGTTGGTTAGAGTGCAGTGCTCACAACACCAGTGTTGCTGGTTTGATCTCCACATGGGCTTCTGATCTGCACCTTCCACAAGTAGATTGAAACAGCTACTTGACTTGGAGCTGATGGGTCCTGGAAAAACACACTGTTCCCCAACAACAACAGCAAAAAGTTATTAAAAAAATTGTTTCTTGTGGCAAATTGAGAGGTGCTAAGTGTGAAGTACCACTTGCATTATAAAATAAGCTAGGCATGTTAGTGTGTTTGTTGTTGATAGTGGAACAAAATATTATATTCTCTTCATTATTATTTCCTAGTCACTATGATTTTTATACTGAAATATTACTATATTTCAAAATTATTATTCAAATCATCTTATTGGAAGCATGACAGTTCAGGTTGGATTTATATCAATTGTAGGTAACTGTTAACAGTACTTAACTAGAATAATGTGTATTGGTTTTAAGTGATTCTATCAAAAAGAAAGTTGACTCCAGTGAAATTCTTTTCTGAATTAACTCAGATTTTAAATTATTTTATTAATGTTTTATATGTGTGCCATAAAATATTTTAGCATTTGGAACATGAGCTAAATATTTATATAGAACCACCATGGGGGCGCTAAAAACTTTTGTTTGATAGACTACTGTCACCAAAAAGTACTATAGGAAGAGCTCTTTAATGACTTGAGTAAATACTCATCTTGAATTTCTGAATGAAAATAATGCCAAGTAGATTTTTCTCCTAGAAGACTTCTTTAGTATTTAGTCATAGAGCACTGCATTTCTATTATTGTAAAACATCCCTAATCTTGTATAATCCTTTACTTTATAGAATTATGTTATGAGATCTGGTTCTTTTCTACTAGGAGGGAACAGAGGAAATTTTTTGTGGTTTTATGGGATTTTTAAAAAATGCTTTGTACCGTTTTCTGAGGAGAAATTTTAGGTAAATCTCTACTCGTCCAAATTTTCAGTTGATTCCTCAATAACCAAAAGTTATGGATTCATATGGGTACAAGAGTGAGCAATATTAAACTGATCCAGAGGGTCATGTTAGGGTCAAATTTACTTTTGGTATAGTAATAGATTTGAGATATGCAGGTAAACTATGTTGAATTTAGTCCGCAGTCTCTGATAGTGTTCCTTTCAGAACTCCAGAGTGATGGTACAGTTAATCCAATCAGCTTGCCCATTATGAAATGTCCAGGCTTTTAGGGGTAGGAATATGGCATGGGGATTGGAGAAGAGCTCGAGTCATGGGAGCCCAAGTTATATACAACACTGTTACCATTAAGAGAAAGAAATTTACTTCAATTACTGGTTGTATATAGATATATTTTTGGAGAGTTTTTTCTATTATCTTAATATAAACTTTATTCAAATTAAATTTAAAAAATATTTTTGTAGATATTTTGAACAGAGGCAACTCCAGCTCATCCTCAAAGACAGTAAAGAGTGAAACACTCAGTCAAGGTACAGTATTATTATACCATTTTAATTTTAAGTGAAATATTTTGACAAAATTGGTTGTATAGAAAAATATTCAATATATTGTGTAATTTAAAAATACAGGTGTTACTGATGTATTCAAGACTACAAGTCAACGCTACAAAGACCCAACATCAAATCCATTGGCTGCCCTACCTAGATTTCATCCTGAAGCTAAATCTTCACATAGATCTGTTATTGTTCATAACGTGTCTAAACCTGTAAGTTTTTCTGAAAATATACAATTAGCTCAGGGATACATTGGATATTACAATACTCAGAATTGTGGACTACCATAGCTAGTCAAATTTTGGTAGAAGCGTAATCACTATAAGAAAATATCACCATCTTTATAATAACTCAGCCAATACCCAGAGTAATAACTGCAGGAATTATATTTAGATTAATTTAAATAGGAATAATATTGATACATTTGCTGTATAAAGATGAGTAAAAGAGTATAATCAGTAATGAATATTGCATAATGGCAAAATTCTTAAACATAGTAAATTGAACCAGGTAGTCTTAATGGGAAGATTGTTCCAAGGTCATTATTGCTGTTTATTCTGAAAACATTCAGTTTAGTTTGAAAATTTTTTAACAGAAGTAATAGATAATGGTAATATTCAACATGTCTTAGACTGTTAATATGGGCCATTTTTCTAAATGCTATATATAAATTACATCTCATTTAATTTTTATGACTTCCCTACGAGGTAGGCACAATAATCATCCCTATATTATAGTTGAGGAAACAGGCTCAGAGAGGCTAAATAATTCACTCAAGACCACACAGCTGGTAAATGATAGATCTGAGATTTCAATCCAGATTAGCCCACAGTTTTTAAAATATGCACATATGCACATCTAGCCATACATTTAAGTATATACTTTAAAAAACAGAAGCATTGCCTTAGAGCAGTGGTGTAGTACACTATTGGGGTTCCCTGAGACTCAGAGGTCCATGAGGTTAAAACTGTTGTCATAGTCACCCTAAGACATTTGCCCTTTTCACTTTGTCAGCATTTACGCTGGTGATGCAAAGCAATGGAAGCTAAAACTGCTGGCACCTTAATATGGATCAAGGCAATGGAACCAAACTATACTTGTAGTTTTTGTATTGGTGACCCCCGAGCACCCACAGTAGAAAAATTTGACATTCATTTAAGAATATCTTTAAAGAAGTAATATTTTTTTACTAATTTTATTAACTCCCAACCCTTGAATAGACTTCGTTATAAATATTCTGTGTGATGAAATGGGTAGTATGCATAAAGCATTTCTGTATCTTCAGTATAAAGGTTTTCTTGAGAAAAAGCACTTGTGTGATTGAATTGCAAACTGAACTCGCTGCCTTTTTGAATGGAATGTCATTTTTACTTGAAAGGATAACTGACAAAGCACCATGCGTTATTTATTGCTGCATAACAATATTACCACAAACTTAGCAGCTTAAAGCAATATACACTTATTATCTCATGATTTCTGTGAGTAAGGAGTCAGGGCATGGCTTGACTGGATCCTCTGTTTCAGAGTCTCACGAGGCTGCAATTAAGGTGTTGACCAGAGCTGCAGTATCATTTAATATTGATTCCAAGCTCACTTGTTTGTTGGTGGTATCCAGTTGTTTGTAGGTTTTCAGACTAAGGGTGACAGTTTCTTGCTTTGTCAGCCAGACACTGTCCTCAGTTTCTTGCTATGTAGGCCTTCCTAACATGACTGCTTGCTTCTTCAAAATCAGCAAGGGTAAAGAGAGTCCCCAGCATGAGGGGCTATGTAAGAATCATTGTACCTCTTGTCATTTTTGCCATATTCTATTTGTAAGAAGCAATCTGAGATCCCAAACATACTCAAGGGGAGATTGCACAAGGGTGTCAATATCAGGAAGGAGTCATGGGGGCCACCTTTAGAGCTGTCTGCTATACAGTTTTTCAGTCTTTAAAAATGTACAAAGTGTGCCTGTCAGAGGAAACACACAGATAGTATTCTTGCCAATGATAAAATTTGAGCTTTCAAGCAAAAATTAGAACTTTGGTAAATTTGTATCTGCATTCTGAAACACTTATCAGTAATATGAGCCTTAGGACTAGTAGTTCAAGAAACCAGAATTGAAAATGAGATACTTGAGTGCTGATTCAGTCCTTGATCCTAACTAGAGCATTGTCACAACATCTCTGGGCCTTATTTTCTTCATTTCTAAAATCAGAACCTTTACCCAGACCACTGGCCCTCAGTCTCTAAGATCCTCTAACCACCCATGGGCTGTTTTTAATGTTTATTAAAACAAAAACCAAAACCACAACTTAGGAGGTGTACCTGAAGATAGCAGGCTACCAGAAATACAAAAATTACTTGATTTTTAGCTGGAATAAGATTAACTTGATTTCTCACACAATCATAAGCTATTTGGCATTTGGGGGAAAAAACAAAAAGATACATCATTTAAATGCAGATAAATGGGAACCATTCCTACACTGGATCTAGGGAGAAAGAATAACACAGTAGAGGGGTGGTATCTTTCATGTTAGCAAAGTTAGAAACTAGAACTCATTCAAACTCAGATTTTTTTGTTTCTGTGGACATGGTTGTTTAATCAAAGCTCAATAAGGTTCCCAATCCTGCTTTTAAAAATAGAGATATTTGTCAATTGGTGTAGGGTAAGGCCTGGGCATGATAGACTTTTTTTTTTAACTCTCCAGGTGACTCTAATGTGCAGCCAGCATTGAGAAGGGGTTGTGTATACACATATATACATACATTATATTTTTTTTCCTCTAACTAATTGAGAATCTCTATATAAGAGAATTTTCTCTGAAATTTTTTAAATTTTCATTCTCTTTACTTCAGCATATCTTTTGAGTAGGCAGGGAGATAATTATTAATCTTCCTCGTAAAGTCAGTGTGATACAGCATAAGGGCACAAGCTTTGTAATCAGGCCAACCTAGGTTCTAATTCCAGCTTTATCATCAATAACAAGCTGGGTTATACTAGGAACCTTACTTAACCATACTTAAATTTGCCTATTTATAAAATGGAGGAGAATAGTAGGTCTTTATTAGTACTATTATGACAACTATTGATACAATACATGCACTGTGAAAGAGGCAAGTACATTTTAAATGGGCAATAATTGGTAGCTTTTATTTCATTTGGAAAGGTGAATGACTTGCATCTCAGAAGTGACTTGCCCAGGGTTTCATAGTTAAATGGACAGGTCTTCTGAATCCCACTCTGTTGCCTATTGTACTTGACCATTGTATTTGGTGTCTTTCTGAACTATTTTGTGAGATATAAAAAATTCCCAATTGAGGAATTATTTTAACATCTTATTTGTTGAATAATGTGTCTGCTCTCTGAAATGGTGGTACTTAGTTGACCAGAGTTATCACCTAGGAAAGGATTTAAAGTACTAACTTTATTAGGAAGAACTTCTGTTAAAGAATTATTTTTGACATTGCTAGTGAATATTTTCCATTTTTACGGGCAAATATTTGGAGAAAATATTTACCTTGAAGTAAGATTATGCTTGGTCACAATTAAGTCATAGAGCCATTATTGATTTTATGTAATACACATTAAGGCTCAAATGTAGAAATCTGCCTGATATATACCTCAAATTCTAGAAATGGAACAGTTTGGATCACTTCAATATCTGTCTCCATAACTTCTTAACAAACCCATGTCAACAGAAAATTTAGTAGCAAAGTAAAATTCTTAAAACCTAATTATGTCTCAACTTTTAAGCACAAAACCCTGAAACAAGATTCTTATATTCCCATTATAAAGGTACTGTGCGTGGTGGGGTAGAAAAGAAACAGAAGAAAATGTGTACTCTGTTTTCATTTTGTTTTCTGCAGATGGTTAGTGTGGTATATGGAATATATTAATCAGGACTATATTTTATACACAGACATCTGTTCCTATTTTTTCCCTGAAATATACATTGGAAACATTTTTTCTATGTTATTAGCTATTTCCCAAAAGCATGATGTTGCACGATAATCTGTCATTTAATTTATTTAACTATTCCTCCATTGTTAGACATACAGGTTTTCATTTTTTTGCTGTAATAAATAATTCTCCATTAAATATATTCATTTCCTTAGCATGAATTCTTGCAAGTGGAATATTTGAAATAATTGGATCAACTCTTAAAGCCCTTGACAGATACTGCCACATTTTCTCACAGGAAACTTTTACCAAAATATAACTTCTACTTTGCCAATAATATTATCATTATGTTTTAAATTTAACTATTTCAAACTAATTTTAGATTCCCAGAAAAATTGTAATAATAATCCAGAGAGTTCTCATATACTCCTTACCCAGTAGATGCTAATTTTGACAGAATAATAATTACCTTTGTGTTTTATAATTTATTAGTAATTGAACCAATGAGGTTATCTATATAGTATTGACATACAGTTAAATTTACCTTTATAAAAGTTTATGAAATAAAATAATTATAACTTTTTACAGGACTTTACAAAGAATTCATCACAAGTTGAATCGGATGATTCTTCAGATTTACTGTTTGACTTGACCCAGGATACAATACCACAATCCCAAGAGGGATCAACAATTTGTATAGAAGGTTTGGTTTAGCACTTTTCATAAATATAATAAAAAGAGAATTGATGAATATACATATGGAATGAATTTCTATTTTGAAGCCCATACCTTCGTGTTAAGTTTTTCATATTTTATAAGATGGAAGCTAATAGTTCCTGAGTGCCTTTCTTGAGTGATTTTATATAAAACTGTATTTAATAATAGATATTTTATTTCTTTCTATTAAGTTGGCTAACATGTATTCTTTGAGCTCATTCTCAGCCATGGGATGAAAAATCTTAATATACTTTCTGTGAGTCAGGGAAGGGCCTTGATACCCTAACACTATGGGTTTTTTTAAAAAAATATTATTTGTAAGGTCCTTAGTATGAGGAAAGTGCATGGTTTCTTCACAGGTTAGTTAGTGTCTTTCTATCCAAATAAATTATGTAGGTGTGATAGTTAAACATGATTATAGAGCAGTATAAAATGGCAATACTAAAGAAATAACAATTTGCACAAAGTAAGTACTCAGTAAATATCCATTGAAGGAACAATGAAAGTTTCTAATTGAAAAAGAATTACAGTTCTTTCATTGTATACCACAATAAAGTTCTTCATTATTATGAAATAAATTAGTGGGCCTTGAAGGAATTTATCTAGTTGAAAAATCCTTATCAAAGCAATTACTATTTCTGTATTAGTGAATTTGATATATTTCACTAAATGGAGAGAAGTAAATAAGATTTTTTTGTATGTTTAAATTGTTTACTAAAAAATTAGTATGTATTTGCCAAACCAAAATAGTAAATTTATAGTAATAAGTGTACTGAAAATATTTTCCCATTTTGATAATACTTAGTTTGATATTCACCTGTCTAGGTGTCACTTATTTAGTTAGTAAAATAGCCAAGAACCAAAATAAACAAGGATGTAAAATACTTGTTTGAAATCTGATTTTATAAAGCACATGGTCTTTATTCATAGAATAATCCAGAATTCTTGAAGCTTCTAGGAGATAAAGACAGTGACTGCTACTCTCTCTAAGTTGCAGTACTGTGGGGAGTGGAACTTTGCCCTAATGTTATATAGCATTATAGTTGAGCAGGAAGATACAGGTTTCAGCCTCTATTCTAGATTTGCGTGGCCTTTATCAAGTCACCTAACTTCTTTATACCTAATTTTCTCATGTTATTACAATAGATACTTTTATTTTTCTCACATAATGCATTCATTGTTCAGACCTGAAATCAGCCATTTGGAGATATAATTTTAATTCTTGCTCTGCTTATCTCAGCTTTTTTGAGGCTCAGATGGGATCAGTGAGAAGTGAGAAATGCATTGGAGTCTTAAAGGACTTGAAAATAAACAGTTGTTAATATGATAATTATGAATGCTCATAGGAGCTATATGTTCAGAAAAATGATTAATGGACTTCTGTCTAGGATGATCATAGAAGGTTCTTGGAAAAGGTTGGATTTGAACTTGATTTTGAAGAATGAAAATAAGATTTTTATTGGCATTGTTGAGGATAGTGAACAGCACAAGCCAAACACAACAGATACAAATAAGTTAAAGAGTGGGAATTTATAACTATTGAGCTCAGAATGATTTTATTTAACTTGGAGATTTACTCATGCTTTAAAAGTTTATATATAAAACAGTCTATTTTTACTATACAGCCTGCTAGATAATGATACCAGCAGTCATTGGTTGTTCAAGTAACCTAAACATTTGAGAAGAATGTTAGTGTGATTACACAGAAATCAGTCCCAGGTGCCTGCAGCATAGCTGTCAGTAGTCATGTGCTGAAAGATGGGAAAAAAATCAGTTCTACATAATCTCAAAAATTTAAATACAAATTTGACAGAGTAGCCCATTAATGTAACGCTCTTATTTTCCTGGCTTGTATCTATTCTATTGTTTCTACTATTGGTGTACAGTTAGGAACATTAAAATATGACATGCAGTTTTAGAATCTTTATCACAAAGCACAATTGTGTTATTTTCAAAAGGACTTTTGCTGGATCTGGTTATACCCTAAATAGCCCCACTTCTCTTGTAAATGCCCTCAATTCCATAATTCTTTAGCTTTTAGGGTGATGGTTTTCAAACTCAAAACGTTTTAGGAATGAAATCTCTAAACAAAATTTTATTTAAAAGTCTTATTTTTTTAAAAAAAGGTAAAAGGGGGAGTTTGTCTATCTGACATGCCCACTGTATTCCTTAAGACAGAACCATTAAACTCGGGAACACAATTTGAATTTTCATTTGTATAAGTGAGGTATTATCAGTTGAGATTAGTTGTTCCTATTTTGTATATACGGAATAAACAGATAATTTAAACTACCTGTCAGGTTGTTAAGTGGAAAAAGAAACAACTTGAATTTTCCATTAGAAAACTTAAGTTTTGCTTTTTTTAAAGTATCTTAAAGGGTTTCTCTAATTTTTAGAATATAAATTGGTTTTGTTTACAAATTCAGGTGTATTTTAAGCATCTAAAGATAAAATTCATTTTTTGGAACTGAGCTTAGAGTATTCTCTGTGGTTTAATTTTTTTCTTTGGGATTTTTTGTTCTGACTTTTTTTGTGGTACCTATTTATGTATTTCTTTATTTGAAAGCAACTTTAGAATTTTCTTAACTAAAGAGTTTATTTCATAAATTGTTCAAATATGTGTAGTGTATAATAGCTATTTGTGCAATTTCTTTCTACCTATTGATTATATAAATGTTGATCTTTATTGTCATTTGTATGATGTGGTAATTCAATTATATTGCCTTTACTTTAGCTCTAAAGTATTTTTACTTAATTTTAAAGATAAGGCTATTTTCAGTAGCATTTGTAAGCAATGTTCTATACCAAAGCATTTAGAGATGTATTTTTCATTATTTAAATTTTATGTAGCTCTGGATGAAGCTTTGCCTGTAATAAAACGTCCTTCTGCTTCTAAAGTAAACAGAGGTAATCCAAAAAAGCCAAAGACTAGCGGAGATGATTCTGAAATAAATTCTTGTGCTTCATTATCTTTAGAAAACTCTTCTTCAGTGACATCCTCCCCTGTTATGACAACAGAAGGTAATCTGGCTATAAAAAACAAATTATTTATACATCAATTTTACAAATTATGATAAATTTTAAAACTATTATTACTGATGGTTTAAGATTTTAAAAAGAAAAATTTGAGTCATAAAAATCCTTAATTTATTTTAGGTACAGATACCCCATCAACTCAACATAAAACTGGAATGCCTTTTCAAAGATCTTGTCCAAAGTGCAATGTTCAGTTCAATCGTTTGGATGCTTTGAAATATCACATGAAGGTAAAACTTTTTCAAAATTTGATTTTTAAAACTATTCACAAATCTATGACAATATTAAGGATTGATATATAGTAAATGCTAGAATGTCCAGATATTTAGATAAGAAAGCTTCTTATTGGTATTTTCATGTAACTTAAGTAAAAATTGATATTCATAATGATTATTTTTATACAAGATATAAAAATCCTTCTCAAGGGGGTGACCGCTTAGCTCAGTTGGTTAGAGCGCAGTGCTCATAACACCAAGGTTGCCGGTTTGATCCCCTCATTGGTCACTGAGCTGCCCTCCGCAAATAGATTGAAACAGCTACTTGACTTGGAACTGATGGGTCCTGGAAAAACACACTGTTCCCAAATAAAAAAAAATTTTCTCAAGCATCAAATTTAAAAAATTAAGATCATGTGCACTACAGTATATGGATATATTTTAATTTTTAATGAAAATAATGCCTTAATGAGAATATTAAGTGCTTAATCTTTTATGTAATTAAAAATTTCTGTTTTTTATCTTGTTTTTTTTGTCCATGATGACATATGCATGTTACATTACTTAATGAAAATCTTAGTCTTGAAATTTAATTTTCAACACTCAGACATAAACTCCTAATGGGGGAACATTTCATATAAATACTAGTTTTAATTCAATTCAGAATATAGTTTGTGCAGTTGTTTTAAATTAATTCTAGCTTTATATTGGTGTAGGAAGCTCCTGCAATTGGGTTTTAGGTAATTTTCAAAGTGTTAATGAAGTATGAGGTTTAGGTATCACGTCTCTTGAAAATATTTTACTAGATATTACAGAATTCTGTGTGTCTGTGGAAAGATAGTCTGTATTCTTGCATGCCCAGTATAAATGGCAGGAAGGGTAAAAGGAGATAAGAAAAAAGGCAATGTAGATTATATGAAAGAGAGAAGGGATAAGAAGAATGCAAGGCAAAGAAGCAATTTAGGAAAAGTTATTGCTCACTATTCCAAAGATTGACAAATTTTTCACTGAAATTCAGAATTTCACAAAAAATTTAGAAAGAATGGAGCACTGTAAAATTTAACCTATCACTTTTTCCACCTACCTAAGTGTGACTCTGGTTAACTGGACTTTGGGTTTTGGTTTTATGTGAGAAGTAACTTCTACAATTGCTTTCTGTTTTCCTGTCTAATATTCTATACCTGATGTTTGTATGTTTTGCAGTATAGATGGGAAAAGGAAAGAAAGAGCTTGGGTTTTTTAGTTATTTTTAGTTTATTTAATTTGGGGAGTGTTATATGATTCAAAAAATATAAGAAGGTATATGAGGTGTAATCAAACAATGCAATGAATGTTTAAATAAAAAATATTACAGTAAAAGACACATTGCCATTAATCCCCCTCAAAATACTCCCCCTTGCTTCAAACACACTTATCCCATCGTTCTTTCCACTTATTTTTAATTAAAATTTACTGGGGTGACAGTGGTTAGTAAAATTACATAGGTTTCAAGTGTACAATTCAGTAATACATCATCTAGATATTACATTGTGTTCACCACCCAGAGTCAGTTCTCTTTCCATCATCATATATTAGACCCCGTTTACCCTCAACTACCACCACCACCCCTTACCCTCTGGTAACCACTCAACTATTGTCTGTGTCTGTGAGTTTTTGTTTGTTTGTTTGTCTTGTTCCTTTGTTGCTTTGAGTTTTATATCCCTCATGTGATCAGTGAAATCATATGGTTCTTGACTTTTTTTCTGAAGCAGTTCTGGAAGTCCTCTTTTGTGAGTGTCTTTAGTTGCACTGTTGTGGCTACCTCCATGATCTGAATCACTTTGACTTTGGGGAAGAGCCAGAAGTTACATGGTGCCAGATCTGGTGAATAAGGTGGATGAGGACACATAATGATGTTTTTATTTGACAAGTTGCCGTACACAAGAAGCTATGTATGACACAGAGTGTTGTCAGGATGGAGGATGATTTGTGGCACACTTTAAAACACACCTACTCTCAGCCGTAGCTCACACCCAGCTGACTGCACAGAACAAGCTAAAACTTGTCACACACTGTTACTAAGGTTCAATGTGCCGCTTCCGGTATTGAAGATCCCTGCCTTTCCATTGGACGGCACTCAGCAGCAGCACTCACCGTATGTTTTAATCACAACTGAAAGGCTCTGTGTCGCACATAGCTTCTGGTAAGGTGATCTCTGTCAAATAAAAACATTATGGTGTGGGGCCGGCCGAGTGGCGCAATGGTTAAAGAACTGGCTTGAGACGCCAGAGGGCCCCGGTTCGGATCCCACATATGAGCGCCAGTGACACTGCCCTCTATAGCTAAGATGCTGAACAACAGCTCAACCTGGAGCTGGTCTGCCATGAGTTGCCGGCGATGGCGTAGGCTGCAGCCCCTGTGGCAGTGGGTTGCCATGGGCTACCATGTGTAGCCAGCAGCCAGCGTGAGCAGCCAGCATGAGTGGCCAGCAGCCGCAGTGAGCGGCCGTCCAGAAGCCGGCGACTGATGTGCCTCACCCGGGAAGAGCGCAATGATGGTGCCAACTTGGGCCAGTGAAGCAACATCCTGCACAACTAGACTGAAGAACAAAAAAACAACAGCAACTTGTCTGTTCCCTTTCCCCCAATTCCCCAGCACTGTTCCCATCCCCCAATTCCCCAATAAAAATCTTTAAAAAACAAAACAAAAAAACCCATTATGGTGTGGCCTCATTCACCTTATTCACCGGATCTGGCACTATGACTTCTGGCTCTTCTCCAAAGTCAAAATGGCCATGAAAGGTAAATGTTTTTAATCGATTCAGGACATTGAGGCAGCCAGGACAGCACAACTAAAGACACTCACGAAAGAGGACTTCCAGAGCTGCTTCAGAAAGTGGCAAGAATGATGCGATAAGTGTGTTCAAAGCGAGGGGGCCTGGGGAGTATTTTGAGGGGGATTAATGGCAATGTGTCTTCTACTTTAATAAATTTTATTTAAACATTCACCATATGTTTTGATGACACCTCATACAGTGAAAAAGCTCACCAGTCTTTTTATATGCCTAGTTCCAAATACGAATTGCAAAGGAAGTGATTTTTATTAATTTCTATCCTCTTTGATTTTCTACATATACAGGCACACATGAATGTATTTTCCATCCATTTTATACACAAATCATAGCATATTATGTATACTTCTGCACCTGAAGAAAGTGGCAAACATTCTCCAACGTAGCTTTTATTTATTGTACCACTGTTTGTGATTAAAACTATGGGAAACCATTACATATTAGCTTATACATTTTTATATATCAGTTAAGCTTTTATAATATTACAGTAGGGATTTCCGTTTTGAAAAAAAATGTGAGTTTTAGATTACTTGTGAATGATCTTTTGCTGTTATAGATAAATAGATTACTATACAGAGATCATGTTTTCCTCCAAAGGAAACATAGAGTGTAAATCAAATATCTTAGTGAACTAAGACACAGTACTAAGCTTTAAAATATTTTATTTAATACTCAGGAAATTCTTTTGGATAGATCTTTTTCTCATTGTTTTATAGCCAATCGATTGGCATAGCTGAAATTCATACTTCAGTCTCTTTGATGGCAAAGCCTAGGTTCTCACACTTTACTCCCCAGTTTGAAAATTGTATGGGCTTTTTTATTGAATGTTACATGGAAACTTGAAAATAAGGGGTGTTTGTTTTTAGGGTATGGAATTTGATACTTATCAGTCAGAGCTACTGTACTAATATGTTATTTAGTTTCCTATATCTTCGCTTATATTTGTTTACTTGTTCTGTCATGGTTTGAAAAAGGTCTCTGTCTCACATTACCACTATTTTCTTTGATACCTTCCAATTCTGTTTTATGGTTGTTGCTATTTAGGATATAGACAGATCTATCTCTTTTAACTTCATTGTGAATGTACCCTTTAGCATTTTTATAAAGTGTTCTTTTTTTGGCCTGGATTCTATTTTGTTTGATATAAGGGTCACAACCCTTGCTTTCTTAATATGTTCATTTGCCTGTTATATTCTTTATCTTTTTATTTTCAACCCTTCTAAATCATTTTGTTTTTGGTATGTTTCTTGCTTTCACCAGAGGTTTTTCTTTTGTGATCCTACATGAAATTTATTTTTTCAGTGGTTGAGTTGAACGTTTATATTTATTAGTAGGATAGATTTAATTAGTGTGATAGGCTTAATTGTTCTTGATTCTGTCACAATTTTTGTTGTGCTTTATTTTTAAGTCTTTCACTTTGTGGTTGCATTGTGTGTGCATGTAGTTTGTTCTTTTAGGAAAGTTTATATTTTTGCTCTGTAATTATTCTTAAAATTAATTCTTCTAGACAAATGCTACAACTGAAAATTGTGTACAGTAAGTGAATTGGTTTTATCTCATTGGAAATAAAAAGCTCATATATGAAAATATTCACCATTAAAGTCAGTTTATATGCTGTCTTGATTTTATTCATGAGGTAGATTTCCCCTTCAAATATTTCAGCGTCCTAGACAGAATGTGTTGAGGTTTTCAAGATGTAGGTGATGCTTCTTTCTTTGTAGCCCATACATTTTCTAGCACCTTGAGTCTGGGGAACGTCAGGTTACCTGTGCTCAAAGTTCAGTTCCAAACAGATTTTACTGAAATACTACTATGTTATTTGATGATTAAACGTATACATAATGGCATATAAAACTACCTTCCCTTTTAAGCTATATTTGACACAAGTATGAAATGTATCATTTTTGGCCAAGGAACAAACTATTTTTAGATATTTACATCTGAAAAGTTTAATTGCAAGCGAAAAGGTTGATATATAGCCATCCCTGATCTTAAGGTTTTTGAAGTTATTTCTTTATTAAGATAATATGTGTTTATTGTTTGAATTTTTTAGATTATATAAAGAAAGAAGCCAATATTTTGGTGAATATTTTTCCAGATATATTCCAAGCATAGTTTTACATGACCTGATCATAGGTATAAACAGTCATTTTTTGGTATCTAATTTTTAAAAGAGATATAAATAAAGCTTACATATGTTTGGGTTTTTTTTCTCTTTCAGTGTTGTTGTCCAGACATGCTAAACAAATTTTTGGAAACGATTAAAGTACAGATTTCAAGTACTGAAAATAAAGATAAGATTATTATAGAGAAAGGAAAATTGATTATGCTAGTTAGTGACTTTTACTATGGAAAACATGAAGGAGATGTTGATGCTGAACAGAAGACTTACACAACCTTTAAGTGCTTCAGTTGCTTGAAAGTTCTTAAAAATAATATTAGGTATGTAAATATTTATTTATATTTATGTTTGAAATTTAGGATGCCACAGATGTAAATACTATATCTTTTTTTATCTGTGCCATCCTAGATAAGCAATTTTAACACTTTGTATGAAGAACAAAGGCAGATTATTGTGTTGAAACCTTTTGTCCCTTGTATTTTAGGGGTTTGACACTTGGAGCCACTTAGTTGCATTTCTTTCAGATAACTTAAGAAAGGACAAAATTTATTTTAATGTAGAGGAAAATGACTTTTTTCTGTATTTATCACTGAACTGGAAGTTTTCCTGAGACATTTTTATTTTTGAGCTACTTTTGAATCTTACTTTTCCTATCACATGAAGAACCACTTTGTCCAGTTTGACCTCCTCCATACCAGTCTTATTTAATGTCCTAATTTTTCAGTTCCTATTTATATATAATTGTTAGCACACTTACTTTGCAGAGAAAGTGATCATTTTGGTGATCTTCTTTAGAAGAATACCAGTTCTATGAAACATGTCTGCTTGCATTTTATAATTTAATACATTTTTAAAAATTTAACACATTTTAAAAGTAGAGGTTTAATTCTCAGTAGAATTTTGAAGGTTTATGCATGTATGCCTTCAATTTTAGATACTTGTACTTTATAATCTTTGAGTTATATGGCATATTATACATAACTATCATCCTAAGTGAGATAGTAACAACAACAAAGTAGCAAGACATATTGATAGGTATTTTTCATTGGTTATTCTGTATAGCCTGACATTGTTTTTTTAACATTTTATTATCAAATTTTTAAAATATTTTGAAACATTGACATTGAAAATTTTTTACAGTGAACATCTGTATATTTACCACCTCAATTCTAACATTAACATTTTAATATACTTGTGTTACCACATATTTGTTCATCCATAGACCCATCTGATTTTTTTTGATAGTTTTCAGAGTAAATTGCAGATATCAGTGCACTTCCCTTAGGTGAGATACATATATAAATGTATATGTGTATATGTATATGTATGTATGCATTCACACATGTACCTATATTGCATACACATAAACTTTTAAAAATGTTTACCTTTGATAACCATCATTTGTAACTAACATTCTTAAGCATCATGCAGGTCCTTTCTAAGCCCAGCATTTATTTTATTTTCTGGTGAATTCTTGAGTCCAGAGTGAAACACATAGAAAAACCCTGAAGTATACTGAAATATAAGCCTAAAACTAAATTATGAATTCTATGCTTAGGGTATAGCTTTATAGTTTTCAAAGATTTTTCAAGTAGTATTCATATGAGTCTTCATACTTCTTTACCTCATTTTTATTAGCCTCTAACCGCCATCAATTGCTAACAGTCCCAGTAGCTTAACAGAAGATAAATTGTGCTTTGAGATGTAACTATGAAGCAATGTTACAATAGAACTCTGTGACCTCCTTCCATATTTTGGCCATTTTTATAGTAAAATCAAAATATAATGTTAGAAATTTTGGTAGAATGTGTGCAAAAAAGTGGTTCAGTGGTTAAGTTACTTATTAAACTTAAATAGTATGCATATAATCTTAGAAGTGCTTTCAGCAATAGCTTTTTGTTTTTTTCTTTAAGATTAGCCTTTTAATATTACACATGAAATTTTCTTTTTGTTGTTTTCATGTCAAAAGAGTGGTTACATACTTCTAGATGATCAGAACACCTAGAAAATTCAAGCTAACCATATTTTGTAATAGCTAGGAATTTTGTAGCATTTTCAGCATATTACTCAGTAAATGAAACCTGAACAGTAAATGCTGATATATGTGTTAAATAACATTTTACCATAATGGTTAAATCTAAGATGGTAAATTGATAGTTTTAGAGGATGGTAGAATCTAATAGTTCAAGATTTCTACTCTCTGCCCTGTCAGCATGTAGGATAACTTATTTCCTACACTGAGTGTCACCAAAATCAGGACTATTTTATTCTGAGAATAGCCTTTACATCTCTATCTACTGATTTGAGCAGTGTAAGCAGTGTAATAATTGAAAGATAGCTAGTTGATTAAGAGGTTATTTTATACAAATAGATTTTATTTCTTAAAGTTATGAGCTGAAAATTTAATGGCTCATGACCTTTATATGTAAATATTTAGGCAAGACTAGGATTGGTGTGTTTCGGTGCTTTTTTTTTTTTAAGCTGAGCCACCCTGCCACCTGTTGGCAGCTCAGCGGCAGCTCAGCTCCGGCCAGCTATTGCTCAGAGCTCGCACTCTTGAGTGAATTTTTAACTAACTGAGCCACTCGGCCTGCCCTAGGATTTTAAAAATATATTTTAATAAAGATAATGTTAAAATGAAAGGAGGTATAAAAGACATTTCAACATGTACCATAAGCAGTTCCAAAGAGAAGGAGTGTTTTGGAGGTGTGAATAAATAAATGTTAAAAGCTCCATGCTGATTGCTGTCTAGGTTGATGACATTACTTTATGTCAAGATTATTTCCTTTAAGGACTCATAGTGAATAACTTAATATTTGGCCCAGTCTTAAAGTTGTTATTTTGATTGAATAACTTAACTTTGAAATTCAGTAAAAAGTTTCAGTAAGCCCTTTGAAATAGATATGCCTGTTTATGTTGTACTCTCTGCTATTGAAAGTCATAGTTTCTTTGGGCAAGAAGTCTTTTTGCACATCTGACAGTAAAATGTACAACTAAGTGGGCAGTGCTAAAATGGTCATAACCTGCAAGTTAAAATGAACTGTTTGTGCTAACAGTAAACCAGTGCCATTAAATAAAACAAAAGGTTCTTGTAACTATTGGTATTAAAATTGCTGTTACATGCATTTAGAAACCAAGACACAAAAAAAATACTAATAATTTGTCTCTGAAGCAGCTGAAACCTATTGTATATCTTTAAGGGCTTCAAAATATTTCTTTCATTACTCTGTAGCTGCTTTTGGTGGTAGAGTTTCCTTCAAGTATTTTATTTTAAAATGCAAATGGTATTTCATGTATGGAAAAGAAGCCTGTTGTTTTTCTTTACAAAAAAATTTATCTGAAATTATGAAGAGTTACAGCAAATTAGTGGTATTTCATATTAACTATATCAATGGATTAGTTTAAAACAAAGATGCAAAGAAAAATATTTACTGAGCCACTTAATGAAAGTGATTATTTAAAGTGCATACTTTTCTAGAGGACTTTAAGGCTTGGAGATAGTTTTTGAGTAATATAACTGCATTTTTAGCATTATGTTCAGACACTTAGTTGTGAGGTTTTTATTTAGTTATAAATCTGAATATTTGCACCTGTTGACAATTATTTATAGGTTTATGAACCACATGAAACACCATTTGGAATTTGAGAAGCAGAATAGTGAGAGCTGGGAAAACCACACCACCTGCCAGCACTGTTACCGTCAATATCCCACACCATTCCAGCTGCAGTGTCACATTGAGAGTACACATACACCCCATGAGTTTTCTAGTAAGTAATAATTTTATGGAAGTGATAAACATTAATGATTTTGATCATCTAAACTATGAGGAATTTTTAAGAACTCTGATAGAAAAATAAGAATTAGACTTTCTAATTGGAGGGCAAAGTTGAAAAACAAGTTTTAACTTGTAGAAACTTTTTAATAAAATTACTAAAATGAAGTCCCTCTTGTAAGTAGCAACTTCTTTGGCATTGTTCATGTATTGTATGTAGGGGACCAAATTAGAAAACTAAGATTTTCTAGTTTGCAAATATGAAATCAATGGTCTTTACTTACACTCTAATAAGAAAAGTAACCGCAGTGATAATTAAAAATCCCAGGGTGTGGAGTTAGACAGCTTGGATTCAAATTCTAGCGCTGTCTCTTAATACAGCTGCAAGATCCCAGGCAAGTTACTTAATCTTTCTGTGCCCCAGGTTCCTCATCTGAAAAAATGGGGCTAAAAATAGTAGTACCTCTCCCAGTGGTAGGATGAAAATTATTATGTAAGTGAATATAAGTCCTTAGAACAGTGTTAACAACTATAGAATTGTTGGAACCACCATTCACTATTACTGTTATTACTTGTTGCTGTTGTTATGGATGTTCAAAATGAACCTTTTATTTATATACATCCTTAAAATGGTGTAATGTGTTTTTTTTCCACTTTCAGCTATTTGTAAAATCTGTGAATTATCATTTGAAACAGAACATACTCTTTTACAACATATGAAGGACACTCATAAACCTGGTGAAATGCCATATATTTGTCAGGTACACACACATTTTATAATGTACTTAGGTGTTTGTTTAAATTTCATGTTCCACAAAGTAGTATTGTTCTTGGGATTTTTTTAAACCATTTAAGTAAAATGAGTTACTAAAAGTGAAGACTCTCTTTAATAGTGGAAACTCCCTTAGTTTAACTCATATATCGGGGTAGTGGGTTGGATTTGGACTGCGGGTCATAGTTTACTGACCGTTGTACTAGACAAACAAAATACTCTGCTGGAGAGAGACAAACATGGACTTTCTTACCAAGTAAGGAAGAATACAGACATGCCAGAGAAATAGGAAATGCTGTTAGTTATGGGGAATTCAACTAACTGCTGGTATTTTTCCAGAATTTGAATAGGTCCCAATAAGATAGTAAGATAAATTGCCTCTGTCATATCCTGGATGCTATTTAAAACCCAAAGAAGAGAATACTACATTTTATATAGCAGGAAAAAACTGTATAGGACAAGAGGTGTCAGAATTTAAAAATTGAAGTCAAGAAAGGTGGTAGTAGATCTGAAAAGAAAAAGGTTTAGCAATATATCCCTAAACTTTGAATATTAACTTTTCTGTTTCAAAGATTATCATTATTACTTGCTGCGATAGGATTCTTGATTGTATAGGTATCAGAGCTGAATTAGTAGTACGTAATGTTCCTCTAAGCAAGTGACTCATCATTGCTACTTTGATGTAATTGCATGTCAGTTATGAATTTTCAAGTTAAACTAAACCTTCTTTATATTTCTAGGTTTGCCAGTTTAGATCATCAACATTTTCTGATGTAGAAACTCATTTTAGAGCATCCCATGAAAACACTAAGAACTTGCTATGTCCATTTTGCCTCAAAGTTAGTAGAATGGCAACCCCCTACATGAATCATTACATGAAACATCAGGTGAGATTTAGCAGTTCTTATTTGTTCATTTTGTCTTAGTCAAAAGGTATCTATATATCTTCGACCATTGGTTAGATTTGTTCTAGAAGGAATGCAAAGTTGTTCCAAATGACACAAATAGTTTACAATTTATGCTGAATTATCTGTGAAACTTCCACTTCTTTTTCTTCCCCCAAGATTTTATTGGAGAATTCGGGAAGGGAACATTGTGTTTTTCTAGGACCTATCAGCTCCAAGTCAAGTTGTCCTTCAATCTTAGTTGTGGAGAGCATACCTCAGCTCCAAGTCCAGTTGCCACTTTCAATCTAGTTGCAAGTGGGCACGGCCCACCATTCTATGCATGAATTGAACCAGCAAATGTTGTTAAGAGCACACGCTCTCACCAGCTGAGCCATCCGGCCGCCCGTTGGCAGCTCAGTGACATCTCAGCTTGGGCACAGCTTGGGCCCAGCTGACTAGCCCATGTGGGAATTGAACCGGCGACCCTGTTGCTCAGAGCTCCCACTCTAACCAACTGCGCCACCCGGCCGGACCTCCACTTCTTTTCTTTGTCTGCTTCCTGGAGGTGATGAGGCTCATGAATAGTGAAAATTCTGAAAGATAAGTAGAAATAGGAGCCCTAGAGTGGATCGGAAGAGGGAATATGAGTGGAATATTTAGGTTGGATATTTCAGTTTGTATACTTTTTCAGGGGTCTAAGAGTGGTGAGAATGGGAATAATTTTGAAGGTAGTTAATCAGAAGCAGGGAAAAGGAGAAGTATGAACTGAGAAAGATAAGACTGAAGACTCATAATCTTCTGGGGTTTTTTTCTCTTCAACCTTTATTTCCAATTTCTAGCCCACTTTTTATTATGAAAAGACATGTGGTTCTCATCAGTGACCCAGAATAGTCTTTTGTAGCAGCTAGTGACAAAGGAAACAGTAGTGACACTTATTTCTAGATATGTGAACTATGCCAGATAATTACATTTAGGTTATAACTTGTTTCCTGGACTACTTTTGCCGGTTCTGCTATGTAATTTCTGAGATACCAATATCAGTGCTTGCACCTTTCCCTTGAATTCTCATTTAATGCTTGCTTGTTCTTTTCCTGACAGTTAGACCATCCTTTATTTGGACTGAAAACTGATGAAACAGCAAGCTTATTCTTTAGTGTTTGAAACTTAAAATGAACCATTTGGTAACTTTGCCAAAATCAGCAGTCATTGAATTCACTGAATCTGATTATGTAATCAAGTTTTGTCTTCTCACTGATCAGCTCATTACATTTTCTTATTATTGATTGCATTGTCATGGCCAATTTATTCAGTACTGCTGCTAACATTGCTTTCAGTTCCACTCATTAGATAATCATGAAATCAACTTGTAGTTGTTAATTGGGGGAAAATCATAAAAATAGAATATGCAGATACATTCAGGATCACCTGCATTATGACCAGGATGGTACCAGCCTGTGTTTTTTTGTTGTTGTTGTTTTTTTAATCCTGGTATGCCACCTCACCCTTAAGAACCTCTGGCAAAATCTTTCTAAGGTTTCCCTACCAGTGTTCCATCAAGTGCTAATAGATGTTCTGCTCTAAAATTGTTCCTGGAAATGGCTAGATTTACAAAATCAAATTAATAGCTTTTTGTTTATTTTTTTAAATGAGACACTTCAGAGCTTTTAGTATGCTAAAAAAATATTATAGGGCCAGCTGAGTGGCGCATTGGTTAAGAGCTGGCTTGGGACGCCAGCTATGAGCAGCAGGACCCCAGTTCAGATCACACATATGAGGGCCAGTGAAGCTGCGCCCTCTATAGCTAAGATGGTGAACAACAGCTCGACCTGGAGCTAGGGTGCCAGTGAGTTGCCGGCGACGGCATAGGCTGCAGTGGAGCTGGCCAGCAGCAGGCATGAGCTGCTGTGAGTGGCCGTCCAATGGCCGGTGAGAGACTGCCTCACCCGGGAAGAGCGCAATAATAATGCCAATATGGGCCAGTGAAGTGACGTCGTCCACAACTAGACTGAAGAACAAAAAGACTGCAACTTGTCTGTTCCCCTTCCCCAATTCCCCAATAAAATCTTTTAAAAAATTATAAATCTCTAAGCAAGGGATATTGTATATATTATTCCCAAAACTTATTTGACTATTGAACCTTTTATTTGCCCAATACCTATTAACATTTTTTCCTTAAAATTATATATTATTATGCCTTGAGTGATTTTAGAGCTAACAATATGGTTAGTACAACTATTTAAAAAGGGTGAAGGATTTCAGATGTGTTAAATAGCCTCGTTATATCTTTATAATGATAGCAAGCAGTTAACATATACAGTAGTAATCACTTGCCATATGACAATCACTAGTTTTTTTACTTGTATTATCTTGTTAAATCCTCACAGTCGCCCTGCAAAGGAGGTATGTGATCATTTTCATTTCACAGATGAGTAAACAAAGCTTAATAGAGAGTAACTTGCCCAGTGTCACATTCTTGAATAAATGGCAGAGCCAAAAATTGACTTAGAGCCCAAGCTTTTACCAGTCATATTCTTCACGACATTATGTCTAAAGGCAGATTTACAGATAGTCAGCATTAGCCATGAAAACCCCTTAAATCACCCAAACAGTATAGTTTGCTTGTCAAAAAGTTTAACACAGACAATTTTTCTCTATCCTTGCAACATGTCACTGTTGTTTTGGTTGAATATATCATGCTATTTAGAAATGCACTTTATTATCATCATCCTTAGCACATTGCAAGCATGCATGCATAAGAGAGATACACAAGACTTGAGTCCAACTAAAGGAAAAATAGGTTAATGTCTCCAAGCTCAGGACTCTGGGAAAATGCTCATTGAGTGGAATGGCAGACATTTTTAACTAGTTAAACTGTGCCTTCTCATGTGCACTGTCAGTCTCTTGCTTTCTACCACAATATTTATTTAACAAATATTTATTGAGTGCCTAATATATGCCCGGGACTGTTATATGGAAGTGAACAAAACAAAGGTTGTGCTCGCTGGAATTTGCATTATGGTGGGCGGGGGAGGGGAGGAGAGAATATGAATAAATTATTTAATTAGTCTGAATGTATGTGTACACCAGCTGGTGGTAAGTGCCAAGGGAAGAAAATAATAGGAGGATATAGAGTGCCAAGGCTTAAAAGGTGAAGGAGTAGTTTCTGTATTTTATATGGCTTGGTCAAAGAGAACCTCTCCAAAAGAAATAAGGAAGTGGCCAGCTGATTGGCACGTTGGTTAAAAGTTGACTTGGGAGCATGAGCTCTGAGCAGCAGAGTCGCCGGTTCGGATCCCACATGGGCCCAGTGACACTGCACCCTCTATAGCTAAGATGGTGAACAACAGCTTGACCTGGAGCTGGGCTGCCGTGAGTCGCTGGTGATGGCGTAGGCTGCAGTGGGGCTGGCCAGCAGCTGGCGTTCATGAGCTGCCGTGAACAGCTGTCCAATGGCCGGTGAGCGACTGCCTCACCCAGGAAGAGCGCAATGATAATACCAACATGGGCCAGTGAAGGGACGTCCTCCACAACTAGACTGAAGAACCAAAGGACAGCAACTTGTCTGCTTCCCTTCCCCAATTTCCCAACACTGTTCCCTCCCCCCAATTCCCCAATACAATCTTTAAAAAAAAAAGAAAGAAGGAAGTAAGCCATATGGCTATCTGAAAGAGAATGCTCCAGGCAGAGGGAACAGTAAGTAGGCAGTGAGGTGAGCATACATTTAGATGTTCAAGGAGCAGCAAGGAGGCTAGTGTTGCTGGAGCAGGGTAAATAAGTGGGAAGAAGAGTAGTAGGAAATGAGATCATAGCAATAGAATGCAGGGCAGGTGGTGTAGGGCCTCATAAACCAGAGCCAGGATTTTGGAGTATTATGGGACGCTATTAGAAGGTTTAAACATGTGAGCGTTCACTCTGGCAGCTGTAGAGGATAGACTAATGGGAAAAAAGAGTGCAAACAAGGAGAAGGTAGTAAGCTATTGCAAGAGTCCAGGTGAGTGACTTGAACTTAGAGGTGATGAAAGGTGGAAAGATTTATGTTTTTGAAGGTAGAGCTGACAGGTTTTATTAAGAGGTTGGATGGGGTGTCAGAGAAAAATTGAGAATGACCAACTTCTTTGTCCTGAGCAGAATGGTGCTCCAATATACTGAGATATTGGAAAGACCAAGGAACAGTTTGGTTTTTTGCAGGATGGATGGGGGGACGTCTAGGGTTCAGTTTTGTTCGTGTTGATTTGAAATGTGTATTAGATATCAAGTAGTTACGTAGGCAGTTGGATGGATGCTGTTTTAAATCATTAAATTGGATGAGGCATAGGTACAGGTAGAGAAAATATTTCTGGGAACTATACTCTGGGAAACTTCATATCTGTGTATTATTTTGCTATCTGTTTCTTGACTGAGGATTTTTTCCCCATTTTCTCTCTCTTGGGCACATATAGGTGAACCTGTTTACATTGCTTGTACTTATGATATTATCTAATGCACCATACTTCTAAAATAGTTTTAAAATGAAATTAAAATAGTAATACAAACACATTATATTTATACATTGCTTTGAACTTTGTAAAGAACATTTATTTATGAAATGCCTGCTGTGTGCCACAAACTGCTAGATACATTCATACATGTTACCTCATTTGATTTTCCTAAATTATTATAGGTGTTTTAAATAGAAATGGTGGTGGGCCTGTATGTTCTAAATGTACATAGAAACATAAAATATATTTTAATTAATGAGAGCATATACATAAAAGATGGCAATTGATAGTATATAGTACAAAGAACACTAAGTAGCTATGAGCAATTGACTTAGGTCTCTCTTGGGTCCTGTTTCCCAGTATTAAAATAGTAACAGGGCTGGGTTTGAGAAGGGACCACAGTTAAGGGGTTCTCAAACAGTACATTGGGATTAGTTGTTCTGATTTATGCTTCTATGCCCAAGCTATATAGTGTCATAGCCACTAGCCACATATATCAATTTAAGTTTAAATTAATTAAACTTAAATAAAATTTTAAAATCAGTTCCTCTGTTGCACTTGCCACATTTCAAGTGCTCAATAACCACATGTTGCTAATGGACACCATATTGGACAGTGCACCTGTGTAGCATTATCATCACTGTAGAACATTCCATTGGACATCACTGCCTTATGAAACCATTTCTGTAACATAACTTTCTTGGGAGAGTCTAGTTAAATTTGTTTCATTTTAGAAAGTTCAATTTATGAAACAAATGGAAATAATTAAAAAGAATTTGCTCTTTTCAAGGATAAAAATATAGTATAGCTCATTTTTATAGTATCGTGTTTGAATAGTTTATACTTCAAATTTAAATTTAAGAAGCTTTTACCCTACAAATGGTATAGAACTTGTTTCATTAGAACCTAATTGATATAATTTTCATGTTGATTGCCTATGTATAAAATACTTTTGAAACCCAAATACTAATGCAAGAACTGCTTTTTAAAAATGAAATGATGGGATATGGTAAAATACTGACATTTATATTATTTAACTATTAGAATTAAGAGCAATTTCAGGCCCCTGGATTTGTGGCAGTAGAAATTCTTTCAAACATTATTTCTAATATTATTTGTAAACAGAAAAAAGGAGTTCATCGTTGTACAAAATGCAGACTACAATTTTTGACCTGCAAGGAGAAAATGGATCACAAGACCCAGCATCGGACATTTATAAAGCCTAAAGAGCTAGAAGGATTGCCTCCTGGTACAAAAGTGAGTTTTAAATACGTTGTATTTTAACATTTTCTGTGATAATAGACATAAATTCCTTCCTGGTTTTATCTACTGAATATAATATTAAAAATTGACTTCTGGAGCCAGCCGAGTGGCGCGTTAGTTAGTAGTTGACTTGGGACGCCAGCTCTGAGCAGCAGGGCCCCAGTTCGGATCCCATATATGAGGGCCAGTGAAGCTGCGCCCTCTATAGCTAAGATGGTGAACAACAGCTCGACCTGGAGCTAGGGTGCCAGTGAGTTGCCGGCGACGGCA